TCTCCATCATTTGTAAGTAACTAGTTTGCCAAAATTGGCTATCAAATGACCTTCCGAGGAAAACTGGACCAAGTATCTATATTGAGGAGTTGGAATCGAGGTGAATTCAACAATAGATTAATGTTTCGTGATAATTAACTGAACGTCGAAGGGTCGACATCGAAAATCTTTATGACATCCTAATAAAAAGAGATGCGAGCACGTGAACAAATTCTCAACAAGAAATTCACCTGAGTTCGGCAACGATAGGAAAAATGCCTCAACAAAATGTTTTTCAAATTTATGCCTATTCTTAGAACAAAAAAATTCAATGAAATTGTCGCATTTGTTATAAAAAAGTTAGCTTTATGTTAACTCAATTATTGTTTTCTTTAAATTTTATAATAAATAATATATTTTATTTTCGTATATCTTTCATATGGACAAAATGTTTTAGATATCAAAATTGAACAACTTAAAATATGTTTGGGACTTTTTAATTTACAGATTAAATTAAAATAGATATAAATGAGTAATATTTGTGGATATTTTAAATTATGTGAATAAAAAATAAATTGAATGTTTATATAACGATAAAAATATTAAATAATCATGCCAACATAAATATGTAAGGGCTTGTTTGGTACATATTTTAAATCAATTAAAATTAATTTTTTGACCGTTATTTCATTATTCTAATTGTCATTTTTGAATTCTTCTCTCACAGATAAGATTCATTTTATCTCTAATGGTCAAAAAATCAATTATCAAAATTCTTACCAAACAAGCACTGACAAGGACCAAAGAGAGAGAAGGATGAAATTGGACACGCACAAAAAATTGTGATAATGATGAAATTGAACACGATGAAAAATTGAAAGGGACAAAATTGGAATATCACGTCTCTCTCTCTCGATTCTAGACCAGTCTTGTCTCTCGTTCTATTTTTATCGTTTGAGATGGAATATACTGGTAGCGGGTTTGACGAATCACAGGAAATTTGAAGATAGAAAAGAATATTCTTTCAAAGCGTGAGAGTCACGCTCTGTACAACCCGTATACGAACGATTTGTAATTTAACTTGGATAGTTTTGAAAAATGATAATAACTTTTTGAGCTCTCGAAGGGCTAGCCATAATGATGAATCGGATTACACTCGCATTATTGCACGTGTATTGCACGAACCAATCGTTACAAGCGATAGACTGATAGACACACACAGGACACAGCCTTCATTTTTTAGACCCTCACATATTCGAATATTCTCTTCAGTGTTCAGACTATTAAGGATGTCTTTGAATTTTTTTTTTTTTTTTTGGGTTGAAAGTTCAAAATTTGAAAGTTATTTCAAAAGTGATCTATGCCTTTTCTCAAAATAATTTAAGAACAAAAAATGTGTGAAAAAGCAATATTTATATAAAAGCAAATTAAACTTACTTTTTAAGTATAGTTTGAACAGACTGAATATCATCTTCTTAGACTTCAAAAAAGTTCAGATCTAGGGTGAAAGAGGAGTTGCTGCCAAAAAAAATTCAGATGCTACTGTGTCAGCATCTGTTTGGTCATTTCATTTTATTTTATTTTATTTATTTATTTAATTTTTTTTTTTTTTCAATAGAAAAGCTTGAGTGCATTCTATAAAAATTCTTGTAGCACTTTTCTATACATGTAGCAAAATTGAAATCTCATTAATCTGATGTCAAAAAGGCATTAGGAACAACATGCAAGCGTGAGATAGCCTCACTCTTATCCTTTGCACTACTGGGTTATGCCGCAGTGTATGGTTCGATTCTTGAGATATGAAATTGGACTCCTTGTAGGCGCAGTATACAAGCAACTCTTATTCTCTGGCCTGCTGGGATACATCCTACAATTTACCTCCCTCACAAATTTCTAGGGGCGGGGCGATGGGGCCAACAAGGTTGGGTTCAACCTTTTTTTTTTTTTTTTTTTTTTTAACAATGTAAAAATACTTAAAAGCCCTTGAAAAAGATGAAATAACTACTCTGCAAGAAGTCAAACACCCAAACTTAAAATTCACAACCAATAGAAGCTTCCTGGAATTATATATTTTGTTTGACTAGAAAGCACCTATTGATAAAGTCTTCCAATGACCTGGCATAAATACTATGTACCTCTCCACTTTATTTCTTGTTTCATCAATCCAAATTACTCCCAAAAAATAAAAATCAATACCCTTATTTCAAATGCTCATTTGTGGCAGTGGAAGTTTCGATCATCAAGTAGAAGATGACCCTGAAACATGGAGCCCTTGTTCTACACCGAAGAGATCTAAAAAGGGCACAAGTTTTTTCAGAAACAAAAGCAAGAACCCTTATGCAGATCGTGGCTTGGACAAATTTTATGCACTTTTGGCTGATCTTGATGAGAAGAGACAGGAGATTTACACACGAAATGGCTCAGAAGATATTTCCTTTGTTCGGTTTGTGTACTCGAATTCGAATGATGTCAAGCCTATTGTGGTTAAAGTGAAGGAGAAAAAGCAAGAAAAACCCAATATTCCTGATGTCAAAATCCAACAGAATACATCAGAAGTTCCATCAGACGAGCTGACAGTTGAAACCTTAAAGATTCCGACAAGTGCTGATCAGGTTTTGGAACCTAATCCAAAGAGAAAGCATAAGTACTCGGTATGTAGAAACTTCAAGTGGCAAAAATTAAGGCAACCCTATTACTATATTCCGATGATTATCATTTTGATTCTGATTCTTCTTGCTGTTTATGGACGATCTTTCGCCATACTTTGCACATCTATTGCGTGGTATCTGACACCTACAATAAAAGGAGAAGAGAGTTCAAGTTCAAGAAAACCCAAGAGGAAGAAGGAATATGAAGAAAATTGAGTGAAAAAAAGATTGTGAATAATGAAAGATTGTCTTCTCCAAGAAGTGTCATCGATGGAGCAACAGATCACAAATCTCCTCGACAGCATGTCCATCGACGAAGCTTGTGATTCAAGGATCAAGATATTTGACTTAGTAATTTTCTACTCTTCTTTTTTTCCTTTGTTAATTAATTATTTCTTCTTTTTGGTCCAGAGAATTTGGGTCTGAGAATATGTAAATTATTCTTTGTTCCACAAGTTAGTGGGGTGGACTGGAAATCCACGTTTGACATGTTCTTGGATGTACATTATCATATGTTATTACCATAATGTATAAACTCGGGTTGAACAAGGCCAAAAAAGCTTTAAATTCTATTTTTGTAATTGAATAGTCAAATTCAAACTCAGTCTGTTTTTATTTTTCCAATATTTTCTTTTAAGAAATTTGTGCAATCAATCCCCAATCTTTCGAGTTTTTTAAAACAAATTTACTTAACAAGATTTTTCCTCCACTTATATAGTGGGAATGAATTTTTTTTGTAAACTTTTTACTTCATTTTTATATTTATGTGCATAGTTAACTATTATTTCCATTTAACTATTATTTCCATTTAGTTTCACAATTTTTTTTCTATTTTTTCGGATTGTTAACTTAATATATTTTAAGAAAATGTTCCCCGTTTGCTATTTTCTAATATATATATAGATATATTTTTTTGTACTGTTACGACAAAATTCATTACTTTTATGTATTTTAAGAAAGTATCTTTATTGTTATTTTCAAATGTTTCTTCTACCCATATGATTGTGTTGAGAATTGCCAAAGGCATTCTGTCCATCGTCCCCCTTCATTCCATCCAACATCTTGTTCCACCTAGTCTTGAGTTACTCTTTGAGGAGTCATCTGTGACCAGCTTTATCCATACCTCCGTTGACTATGGATTCAAGACGTACGTTACCGAAGCATGAATGTTGTCTCTTCACAAACATCTGAAAATTTTTTGTGAGCGGAAGAGCGTTGTCGGGGCTTTTCCAAAATTGGATTTTTCCAATTTCGTTGGATTCGGCTAGTCATAGACCGTTCATGCCCTACTAGTTTTCTCTATTAGTTGTAGCATCACTTAGGTTTGTAACCTCGATAGGATACACGTCCTTGATATCCACACACTAGAATCTGCCTAGTCAAGCCGGGGAGGCTGTACACGGTGTTCGACCAATGCTGCCCGTAACAGGGGATTCGGCATTCTGCTCTCCTGATTTCAGTTAACTTCATTTGAAAATCTTTATCCTATTCAAATAAAGAAAGGCATTTCCCATTCAATTGAAACACAACTTTGTTTTAGGACTTCTGGTCCTAAGAAAACTCCCAAGACTACTCCATTTACTAGTGTAAAAGGATGCTCTCAATATAATATTTCATTACACTTCACATCGCTCACTTTATAACCTAAAGATTTAAAAATAATTTAAGCTACGGTGCTATCTATATTATGTAATTATGATTTTGAGATTTATTGTTTTGTTGAAAACTTCGAAGTTATGTACGAAATTTTTATAAATCTGTTAAGTAAGACATGTCTAGTTGGAAGTTGAAACTATGAAAATAGTATAGATTTTGCATTTCAAAAACTTGAAAATTGCATACTTGACTACTTGTAGGAATTATTAAGTACATATAATATTTTATAATTTTAGATGTATGGTATGTATTATTTTAGTTATTAAATAATTTTTAGAATGATTAAGTAATTAATATAATAATAAAAATAGGTAACCTTTTTTTATGACTAGGCTCGTAAAACTTGAAACTTAAGTCACACGTTATGATTTTAAAAATACTGGATATTAGAGCCTGAGAATGGCAAACACCAATGATACACCACAAAATACCAACTCCAATTTTCCACCCATTTCGGATTCAAGGATAATGGTGCTTCAATGTAGGGAAGCAACCATTTCTCACCATTTGGTATCAATCTAAATAAAATGGTATTAGTCAAATTTCTTTTTTGATGATTCAGGTGCCCGAGCTTCGCTCGATTATTCCTGAGGATTGGTGATCTTCTCCCTGGTTTGCTATCCGGGTAAATTCGGATGCGATTACAGCTTATACACACTTGGGTAGAACATTCGGGATACGATTCTCCTCCCTGTGGACTTTCCTTTACGACGTGCGGACACGATTCCCAAAGGGATGACAAAGCGCACCATAACTTTGCCTCTGATATGGCATATTATGATCTTGCCCATCATTCGTGGACACAATCTCGAAGACCATATTCTGGGTACAAATGTGTGTCCTCCAACATTTATTTATACTCAAACTACTGGAGAGGTAGGAGTTGGTGTTGAGATGACTCCAAATCCTCAATACAATCAATGGATGTCCATAGATCAGCTATTGATGGGGTATCTTTACTCCACAATTACTCCTGACAATGCTGTGAGAATAGCAACTCCAATCAGCTATGGGCTATAGTGAAAGAGACTTATGGTATTAGAAATCGATGCAGGATTACCTTTCTCACTAGTGAACTCCTAAAAACAAGGAAAGAAACTATGAGTATCGATCAATATCTCAACACAGTGAAGCTTTTAGCAGACAATCTCGAGATTAATGATAAAACCAAGATCAAACAACTACCAGTACATAGACTACAAATCAAACAATGGAGGGAGATCCTCAAAGTACAGTAACTATAGATGTAGAAGAAGAGGTAGAAACAGAGGTGGCAGCTCCAACAAAGTGATAGACCTATTTGTCAAGTAAGCAGCAAAATTAAACATGAGGCAAATATTTGCAATTTCAGATATGATGAACATAATATAGGAACACCACCAAATCAGAAAAACAGTAGTGATTCACAACCCAAAGCAATAGCTTTTGTGGCATCACTCCGTTTTGTGAATAATCCTGCCTGGTTTATAGATACAGGAGCTAGCGACCATGCCACTAGAGAAACGGGTAACATCGTATATAAGTTCAGCCAACAAATACACTAGTAAGGAAAAAAATTATAGTTAAAAATGGAATAAATTGCACCTCTCACATTTTGGTGTTACCTGCTTGCCTACCTAATCTGATAAACCACTTGTGTCGAATAAGTTGCCACATGTTATTAGAATTAAGCAAAACATAATTGTTTCTCAATTGACATCTACTTATTACGTCCATATAAAATTTCATTCCAATTGATATTTTGTTAAGGACAAGATAAAGATGAAGGTAATGCTACAAGGGAAGCTTAGAGAAAGTTGTATCAGCTAGATATTCGTCACTTGAACACGAGTCTATTGTTCAGAAGTCTATCCTTTCAAATAAATCTTGCAGTGTCGTCTTCTATGGTGATTCAAGTCATAATTCTTCAAATTCCCCAATTGATGTATGGCATTGGAGACTGTGACATCTATCTAGTCAGGTAGCATCTCAAGTACTCGAAGTTTGTAATCAAAAGGTGAAAATAAATGAAATCATGTCCTTTTGTAATGCCTTCCAGTATGGAAAAGCTCATATCTTATCCTTCTCTTTATTTACTTCACATGCAAAGGCTCCTTTGGATCTCATATACATGGATGTACAGAAAACAAGCTCCCATTCAATCAACATCATGTTTTAAATATTACATCATCTTCTCAGATGACTTCAGCAGATTTATCTGGATATATCCCATGAGACAGAAATCAAAAGCCTGAATATCTTTGTTCAATTAAAAAATTAGTTGAAAACAAGTTTGAAAGAGAGAGAAAAATTCTACCGTCTGATTGGAGAGGAGAATACAAAAGCTTCACAAAATTTGGGTGTGCTTGCTATCCATCTTAAAAGCTTCCACTTAACTAGATATGTCTTCCTTGGTTTTAGTGAGTCTCATAAAAGTTATAGATGTCTCAGTTCAACTAGGAAAATGTATATTTCAGGATATGTTGTATTCAATGAGTTGCATTTCCATTTCATTCTGAATTCGTTGTCAAAAACAGTCGATCCTTGTTGATTTTGAAACAACGGTGTCCTAGTCTCTCCTTTTTAACAAAATAACTCAAAATTTGATTCAAATCTTGCTAATACAACTCAACTTGATGCAACCCGAGCTATGTGATATGAAAAATGAAAACCAAACACTAGAATTGCTCGGTGATATGAAACATTGTGTGGAGACAAAAGTTGAGTTGCCACAGAACAATGAAAGTCTTTAATTAAACATTGGTGCTGATCACACTAATCATCAACCAGCCAGTAGTGAGTTAAGGCAGAGACATAAGCAAAAGTTAGTGATCAATTGCAGCATTATATGATTACTAGAAGAAAAGCTGGAGTGTTTAAACTAAAAGTCTATTCAAGGTAGTTGATTGAGCACAATCTTGAACAGATAGAACCGTAAAATATAACCGAAGCAATGGATGAAGAGTTCTATGCGCTGACGAACAACAAAACTTGGAAACTTTTACCTTCATTACCATCTTATAACATAGTGGGAAACAAATGGCATTTAGATTGAAAGACAACTCAGATGGCTAAATCCAAAAGATCAAGGCAATACTGTTAGCTAAAGGATTTCATCAAACCCGAGTTGATTTTTATGAAACCTTTAGACTGGTCATCAAAGCATCAACTCTAAGAATAATTCTTATCTTTGCAGTCTCAAGAAGATGGAAAATTAGGCAAGTTGATCAATAATGTCTTCTTAAATTGTGAACTTGAAGAGGTAGTCTACATAAACTAACCTAAGGAATTCATAGACAAATCAAAACCTTCTCATGTGTGTAAATTAGAAAAGGTACTCTACGGGTTAAAACAAGCACCTAGAGCCTAGTATAACAAGTTAAAAGCCATATTAGTAAGTTGGAAATTCCAGCAATCCAGAGCTATCACATCACTGTTTTATTTCAAGATTGAAAAGCATATTATATTTGTAGTTATATATGTGGATGATATAATTATAATGAGAATGAAAGAGTTGCTGCAAAAATTCATAGATGAATTAAACAAGTAGTTTGCATTGGAAGAGATTGGTCAGATTCATCATTTCATCGGGGTTGAAGTATGTTGGCATCACCTAGGAAATCACTTTACACAAACAATTTATATAACTGAATTACTTAAGATATTTGAACTTCAGAATCTAAACCCTTGTCCTACTTCTATTATTGCTAGTAAGACTATGTAAAAGGATAAGAGAGAAGTCATGAAAGATCCTTCACTTTACAGAAGTGCAGTTGGGGGGCTACAATATCTCACACATACCAGACTTGATAACCTTTTTTGTTAACAAATTGCGCCAATTTTGCGATCATCAACATCAACGCGTTGGCGGGTATTAAAGAGAGTTTTAAGATATCTAAAGGAAACAATTAATCAATGGTTGTGGATACAAAGGAGTGACAGACTGACATTAAGTGGATACTTAGATGGAGACTGGGCTTCATGTCCAGATGACAGGAGATCAACAGCTGGCTACTGCATCTACTTGGGAGATAATTTTATGGCTTGTTCGTTAAAAAGGCAGCATTTAGTTGCTAGTTCAAGCACATAATCAGAATACAGAGCTTTCACATCTGTGGCCTCATAAATTGCCTGGATCCAATCGTTAATTAAAGAGCTTGAACTGACGCTAGCGTCAATTTCAATCTTATGGTGTGATAATATGACTGCTAGTGCCCTGGTTGCAAATCCAGTGTACCATGCCATAACATAGCACATAGAGCTGAACATTCACTTTGTTAGAGAAAGTTCTTGGAAAAGAATTAGATGTAAAATAAGTGCCTTTTTCAGATCAGATTGAATATCTGTTAACAAAAGGCCTTTCCCATTCAAGATTCATATTTTTAAAGCAGAATCTTGGAGTTACAGTGGTACCATCCAGGTTGAAAAGGGTGCTATGAGTTCATAACTTAGTGACAATTACTGTGCCTGTTGTTGTGACAATTACTGTGCCTGTTGTTGCATTTTGTTAGAAGTGGAATCAGAGGTTCATCCAATCTCTGCAGAAATTGTCCAGCTATACATTGTAGAATACTCTTTGTATTTTACATTTTTTCATTATTCTCAATTGTAAAGTGTATACATAAATTCAGCTGTGGCTCAAGAAAATACACTGAAAGTTGTATTCAAGGATTCTTAGAAGTTAAACAGAAGATGCTACCAAAAACCATAGTTAACACTCTCGCTGGTACCTCAACTACACCCGATGTCTATCCCAGCGTTCTCGCGAATCATCAAGTTAAACTATCTCCTCAAGGCCCTCAATCCACTGAGGTCCCCACCAGTTCGGCCACCATCTCCAATTACGACAGGGCATTCGAAAAGCTCTAACAATATTCAGCGGCTTTCCCCAGCTCAACCTGATCACAGCAGGCTATCCCTCAGGTCGTCGACCTTCGATCAGTCACTCTGACATCTGTCCAGCTTCAGAAACTCGTCAAATCTTTACATTGAAATAGCCATGAACTTATCAGCTTCACCACCACCTTCCCTTTCACTCCCGAGGTCCTCACTTATCCGCTTCTTGATAGGTTCAAGTACCTCTGTGTTAAGGAATTTAAGAATATGCCTTATTGATCACTTGAATGCTTACATTGACTTCACGAATCTCCAAGTAATTCTAATGTCGTGATGTGCAAAACCTGTCCTTAAACTCTTGATTACTTCGAGGGATAGACCCTTTTACAGAGGAAGTCACAAAAGCTCTTAAATTTATGTGATCCGTAAAGGCTTCGGGACCAAATTGATTTCATGCAGCATTCTACTAAAAACGGTGCTCATCTCTAAGAAATCTCTAGCTGCACATGCATTTGATTTTCGAGCATTCAAATTTCAATTTTCAATATAGAAAAGTAATAAAATAATTTTAAAAAAAACTAGTTAAAATAAAAGATCGAGAAAAATAATAAATATTTTATTTGAGTAGTAAAATTAAATGTTAAATATAAAAAACTTGTTGGAGTATTTCAAAATTTAGCTTTCTAAATTTATTGATACTCTCTAATTGATAGAATATGCTTTTTAGAAATATATAGTCTCTTAGAAATACTCATAGGAGTCTTTAAGAACTTTGGAGGTCATAAAGTAAATTTTTATATTCTTGAAGGACTAAATGAGTAAATTAAGGATTTTTCATTAATTGCACCCTAGACTGAGAAAATCTGAAAATATGGAGTCAAATTTTCATTTGGAAAGTTTTGAGATAGTCTTGTGGCCAGGGGTTCGACTCCAAACATCTAGGGTTTGACTCAAGTCTACGTTTGACTGCACAATTCAAACAGAACCGCAAATAACATTTCAACAATTAATATTTTATTTCAAGTAAAGATGAACTTTATAGCAATCATTAAGAACCTAGATAATAGCTAAAACTAAGGCCCCCGATTGATACGCATTAATACAAAAATGAGAATAAAAAATATAGTTATTACGAGTCACACACAAGAGATAGAAAGTCAAATATGGTAACTTGATATGATGGATAACGATCATATTTTTCATTTTAATGAACAAATAATAGAAAACAAACAGGGGCTAAAATTCCTAATCAGAATTGAATTCCGAAATTACTTATCACTATTATCACTCTGAACACATGTTTGGAAATTTTAGCCCAAAGTATTGATGATATGTGACTCTAAACTTGATACATGGAGATTATCGATCATTTTAGTCTTCAAGTAGATGATTCGTAAGAAATGCAAATGGACAAAGTCGTGAATGATAGTATTGACAATGAGAGATAATTAATGGTTCAACTACAACGCAAAATAGTAACATTTATATTTTAGTATGCTCTTACGTGATCATACGAGATATATTATTGATGCAAATTACCTGGAATATGATGTGGTGCTGAATATGTGTATGCAATCGAAGTTTACAAAATATGAGTTGATTATATGAAGTTGTTATTTATGTACATGAATTTTATTGAAACGTTGTCATATGTGATTATGACGTATAATTGGTGCAAGAGATATATCGTAGTCTTCACGTGCACGTGCATCAAAGAAAGAGAGAACGAAAGTAAAGAGAGAGCCACATTACGGGTGTACAATAAAATTTCTTTGTGTCCAGACATACATACCCACTTGAAGCACTTGATAATTGTTAGGAGTAGTCGATGAGAAGGTATCGAAGGTCTATACAACATTAGTACGGAACCATTCTCATTCATGGAATTATATGATATAGAACCTCCTAGTTTTGATCTAGGAGTAGATGACGGGTTTATTGCTCTAGATGAAGAAAAAGTTCCGACCAAAAAGTAACTTTACCAGATAGACGCCTTTGCCGAGGTTTTGGTTAGCTGACTGATAGATGCTAAGGTCTTGTTTAATTTAGATTAATATTAAATTTTAAGTAGATTTTCATAAAAGATAGTACAATATGTAATTGAAAGGTTAATAAAAGTTATGAATTCATAAAATATGTGGTTAAAAATGAGTTTGAGAAAAAAAATTTAGAAACTGAGGGTCGAACATGGACTTAATGACATTATCCCATTTTGACACTCGTTTATTTTATGCTTCGTTAATTTGATTGAGGTTCCCTCCTTTTTTTTTTTTTTTTTTTTTTTTTTTTTTTTTCACCCGAGTTTTTTTTTTTTTTGGTTGGCTATCACGCGGAGGCAATGGAAAACACGAATTGTTTGCAATATGACACACTAAGAACAAAAAAATAAATAAATGATCACAAGCACGATTTGTGGACCTCTTACAAAATAAGCACCATTTTCATCGTTGATTAATAGCAAAAACTCGATGATAACTTAGTTACATAGCTTACAGTAGCAGATAATGTCATTCACAAATACTTAAGAGTCCGTTTGATTGAAACGAATTCCATGAAAAATGTCACTTTCAAGGAATTTGATTTCTACTTTAGCTGTTTGATACGAAAATTGAAATGGAGTTTCAATTCTAAGGCATAAACACTCAAGGCATATTTTTTGCCAATTCCATAGAAATCGAATTCCTATGATTTTCGTGATTTTTTCTTTTCTAACTTACATTGAATTGATTTGTCTTTTTCACATTTGTAATCAAACGAACCCTTATAATTAGAATTCAGTTACAAAATTCTGTTAAAGAAGAATGAAATCAGGTAATTGACATAATATCAAATGTAGCAAACAATGCCATAAAGGACAAAGGGGTGAACACAGGCTAAATGTCCTTATTAAAATCAACTCTCGTGGCACTCAAGTTTTCATTTTCAGTTAAAGAAGACAGTTTGTGACTTTATAGAATGATATAACCACCAGCAAATAAAGAAAAATCATTAACCAACAAAAAGTTCAATACGATAGCTTTCTCTTTCGAAACAAAAATCAAATATAGAACTCTCTAAGAACAATTTCTAGAAAAGAACTGATGATCATTATTTGAAGGAAACGTCAGAAAACCTAATTACTTCATAGCACAACTTTCAGATTGTCACGCACATCATTAAAGTCTAAATGCTCGAGCCAGCACCAGAGCCTTTGCGGCATTCAGACAGCATGTCCAGATAGAACTGACACTTGCTGATATCAGTTCCATGATAGTTTAGGCACTGCAGCATTATAAGCAGTTAATTAGTAAAGAACAATGGCAACTGTCAATGAAAAGCATTTGTTAACGAGAGAAAAACATAAGAATTTTATTATCGCTTAAAGAATGGATCTAATCCTCCACGAAAAGTAAGAAATTCCGCATTAAGTGTTGAGAACATGTATATAGCGTTGTTACAGGACTTAAAGAAAACATATGCAAGAGAAGCAGTTTTATTTAAGAAGAAAACTTACATCTTGGAAGGCCTTAGATTGAACACCACATGCATCAGATCCTCCAAGAGTATTCATTGTTGCGGCTTCTGGGCCAGGAGCAGGAGAAGAGGAAGCCACAGACTCATGTATTATGGTACGAGGACCCAGCATAGAGTCTACTGCCCGATGGGCAATTGCGTTTCCACCACCAAAAGCCATTCCTATCCATTAACAACATGAAAATTTGATGAATGTCAGCCTTTAGATTTTGGATGTCTCGACCTTTACAGGAATAATTTATGATTGGTGCAATCAAAACAACTTGAACTAACCTTCAGCAACTACTGAACCGAGTCCTCCACCCACAGGTGCGCTCTTCGGTGGTGCAGGGGGAGGAGCTGGATCTTGAACTGGAGCTGCAACATCAGGTACATACAATAAGATAAGTTAAAATCATAGAGGGTCGATTCTTAACATGAGTCTCACTTGAGATTGGTAATGACGAAAAAACTTAGATTTCAGAGATCGTCAATCCCAATATCGTAAGAGCAGAGCGGTGAACTGAGAAATATGAATTGTTGATACAACATTATAGTTCAAAAGCTTAATGCTGAGCCAGGCAGCTCGTCATACACTTTCCCCATTCAAGCTGAAGTATCTAAAAAACATAGTTATAAGACACGGCATGATTATCGACTACCGGTGATCAGTCCATTTGTTCATTAGTTCAATTGGAAAGTCATTGTTAAGAAACAAATTTTAAAAGAAAAAAAAAATAATAAGTATAGGACCAAAAGATGACGTGCTATACAATTCAAAAATTGAAGTGTTGTAAGTTAAAAATGTGTTAAACAATATAATAGAAAATCATATAAATTGATTTTTAGTCTTCCAAATTATACTTCAGTATTATATCAATTGAGAAGTGTAAATACCAGAAGGAATTTCAGTTATATAGAATTTAGCAAGTGATCTTCCATGGCGTAGTAGGACTGGTTTTTTCTTAGTCCATCATCACCAATCGGACTGATCCGTAGTTTGCCAGTTTACAGCCGTCAGACAGCCCAGGTTTATTGCTACAGACTAGACATCTAAGCTGTTTGATGACCATTATTGAGAAAAAAAAAAAAAAAAAAAAGATATTTTGAATATTATTTTTATTTTTTATTTATTTATTTTATTATTATTTTTTTTTTACAGAATGTGTGGTTAAAAATAAAAAAGAATTTTGGATTTACCTGTAAAATATTTTATCGTATGAATTTGTGGTTGAAAATGAGTACGAAAATTAATGAATTTTATTTTAAAGGGAGATAAACAAGAGCTAAGTGAACCAGAAAAAGAATATTCACTTCAGAATTAATCGATTGAATATAACCACAAATCAGAGGTGCCGAAATTTTACCAGGCCTAGGAGTGCTAGCAGCAGGGCGAGGGGCTGACCATGATGATCCACCTGCAAAATCGCATGATCAGAAATAACAAAAAGCCAAACATGGAAAATTCGAACACAATTCTATGTGCATGAAGACACAAAAATGCACAATTATGAGATGAGCGTATGCTGAAGAACAAGATAAATAGAGTCCGGTAGGCTTTCTTGTCATACCAAAACATACATATAACCATCAAGCTAACTGCTAGTGCAATGGAGACTTTGCTCAAAATTGAAAATCCATCAATCAGCATGCATTTAACTATTTCAGTTTTGTGTGTTTGAATAAGGTAGAGTCCGAATATTTCATATAGTCAATTGTCAAATTGTCTGTTTTCTAGTTTTTACATACAGCATCAATGTTAATATTTATTAACATGAAATGAGTTCATAATAGCATATATTCGAATTCATCCTGTCAGTATGGATGCAATTAAACGCAATGAATCAAGAAAACTTAACCTATAACCAAGTCTTAATTGTGAATTCCCCTTACACCACCGAAACATTCATCTCCGAAAAAAATTACACGTTCTCAATAATCGAACAAATACTCGATAATTAAATTTCCTCATTTAGAAAAAGAAAAAAAAACACGTAATTCAACACATATCGTCCTTAAATTCAACCATAAACCCACAGATCTACCAATATACGTCATAAGGAATAACAAAAAAATGATCTACAAACAAACACTCTCACACACAACATAAATAATTAAATAGACGTGAAAGTTGACACAGAGAAACCGCGAAGAGGATACAGACGTCCAAAGCTACGGCCACTGCTTCGGCGAGGCATGATTTCTTCGTGAGAGATGAAAATTGAGATTGCGTGGTATAAAATTAATGTAACTGAGAAAAGGAATAGTTGAATTGTATGAGCAGAGGCGATGATATTTATACGTTGCGTGAGGTCGGTTTAACTTGGGGACCAAGATCGGCTAAAGATTTGCTCATTTGGACCCACAAAATTTGGATTCTTGCAACGAAGCCCCTCATTTTAGATATTTGACGTTCAGATCCTTCCCCACACCCTCCACTCTCCTCTTTTGTTCAGAGTCCATAAAATAGTAATTTTATATACTTGGCAATGTTTATAAACTCTTTGAATGAGTGATTAAAGAGTATATCTCATAAAATATTTGATTAAAAATAATAGTTGACGTGCGGATAATTTTTTAAAAAGATAGTGTAATTGTTACATAATATATTCTATTGGTCGGTCAATGACTAGATTGCTAAAAAATATTGAAAGTAACTTGTTTGTTGTATAGTCTTAAGATTCTTTTTTTTTTTTTGGATTTTGAAGATCTAATTATACAAGGACTTTGAAGATCTATATCCCGGTTTCAAGATTTAAGCAAAGAAAGAGGATTTCTCCTACTTCTTCCATCTTTCTTATTTTCGATAATGTTTTTTCAATTATTCTTGTGTAATTTAATTATAAGAATGTTAGGCTAACTTTTTCATTGTATTGGATGGATGATGAACCTTATTAGTTGTTGTTTTTAATTCAAGACTCATTATTTTAGTAATTTCCTAAGTTTCTTGATTATTTATACATCAATATTGTGGTGTTTGAATGTTTGATCACCATTTAAATAACATGTTGCCTATTCATAATGTTGAAAGGCTCACAATAGATAGAACACTGCATATTTTGTACACAAAGAATAAATATTAGGAATAATATGTATGATATATGTAATTGCGTGAAAAAAACCTGTTATTAAATACGTGTTTTTCCATATAAATTCGGACTAGGAATAGGATCAAGCCGTGTTAAGCATTGTTTGATATTTCTTGAAAATGATATTAAATAAAGTTGAATTATTGATTGTCAATGACATTAGAAAATTATACTACTTTCTATGGGTCAAGAATTGAAAATAACACTAATAAGGGGATTCAGAAATCCAAATCATTCTTCTTATATTTGATAAAAACCACTTCTTCTTCTTCTTCTTCTTCTTTTTTGTTTTTTGTTTTTTTAATTTTTTTCTTTCATAGTTAAACTTAGTATAAAAATCAAAATAACATCTTCTTTGTTACTCTTTATCGAACTTGATAATAAACTAGTAGATCGAAATTAAACATTATTTCTCGTGGAACAATAATTCAACTCGCTTTATCTATTACTTATCAACAATCTCGTATGCTTCCAGGTTTTGTCCGAATAAGTTTTTAGCATTGTTTTCAGGGAATAATAGTTTTAATTTTAGTTTAGTAGTTTATATTATAGTCGTAGTTTATATTATATTCAATTTAAAAAAAAAAATTGCTTTTGTTTTGTTTTAGGCTATTCATTTTACTACCTGATTGCTTTCTATTTCATTTCTCTCAATTTTTCACCAGTTTATGCAAGTTTCTGACGAAAATCGAGATATTTCCTATAGATCTCGAAATTGAAAGAAAATTTAAAATACATAGAAGAGAATAGAGAAGAATAAAGGTAATGGTTGGGAGTAGAATCAGATTTAGGATCTAATTTAACAACCATTACTAGTTAAGCAGAGGGTTGTGGACGAAAAGGGTCGAATATTAGTGGGGGATTATGTGAATCGAGTACTTGCACTAATGCAACCAGCAATTATCTATCCACCTTTCGAACAAGCTAACTTCTACATCTGAACAGATGTCGTCAATTTCTTACAGAATCAATAAGATATTAGGTTCTGCCAGGAAGCCACGAGAAATTCACATGAATATATTCAGACTTTTCTCATGTTGTGCAAAGTTATCAGTTATGAAGGGATATCAGCTGATGCATTTTGGATGCAATTATTCCATCACACTTTGAAAGATGTTGGAAGAGAGTGGGTTTGCACATTACCTTAAGTCTATTAAATCAGGAATGAAATTCACATATTTAAGTAGAAGGACCTCAAGACCTATCTAGGGACACGGGAAAAGTACAAGAACTTATTCAAGAAGTGTCCCAATCTTGATATACCTAAGTAAGCACAAGTGTACCTCTTTTACTACAGAATACACCAAGAATTCAAAAACATGGTAGATGCTTCAGCGGGTAGATCAGTAATGACAATGGATGTTGATATTGCTTATGAGTTGTACGAGAGAATAGCAGAGAATCGATCTTTGTGGCCGGGCAATAGGAAAGTTTCGAGAAAGGCAATCGGTATGCACAATGATGATGTAGTGACAGTGTTAGCAACACATATGGAAGCAATAATGAAGAAACTTGATAATCTAACTCAATCTGTGAACATGGTATGGCAACCAGCACTGGTTTGCACAGGTTGTGGAATAGATCATTTCACTACTAGTTGTCCCATAATATCCACTCACATGGGTCAGCTTATAGAGGTCAACTATGCACAAAATTATCCAAAGCAGTAAAATGGGCCCTATCCCAACAATTACCATCTGAGTTGAAACAAACATCCTAACTTTTATTGGGTGGATAATTCGAATTAGAGCTATCACATAAAGGGCAATTTGCCAATGATTCAGCAATAGCAAGAGAAGGGGGTCTTGAAGGATCTACTTGTTAAGTATATCACCAAGAATGAGACTAAGATGCAGAAGTATTAGGCCTCTATACAGAACTTAGAGAATCAAGTTAGGAAAATTGTAGCTGCATTTGCCAGCAAACCCCATGATCCCCTACCTAACGACACAGAAAAATCCACAAGAGCAAGTACTAGAAGTTGAGGAGGTGAATTATACAACTATTAAGCTCCCATCAAACAATCCCACTACCTCTGTTAAGGCTTATGTACCATCTATCCCATTCCCTCATAGACTATAATAGTAGTCCAAAAGAGGGGCAGGTTCTGGCCAGCACAACAAAAGTGGTGTTCAATTGCCAGAGATCAGTACAAAGAGGAAAAAGACTAAGAGTGATCAGTACCTATCACTGATGAAGAACAAGTGGAGCAGTTTGAAAAAATCAATAGAGAATGAGAAATAAAGCTTTCAGACAATCCAGATGTTAAAGCAACCTTTCCTACCAATTCACTCACATCTCTAGTCTCGTTTTCTCAAAGGTTGCAAAACACTAAGTTGGAGAGGTACAAATTTCCTGGAAATCCTAAAAAAGTTGCATGTCAACATTCATTTCATTGATGTAATCCTACAAATCCCAAACTATTCCGAATTTCTGAAGGGGATGTTATAAAGAAGAGGAAGCTGCCTGAACATTAAACATTAGCCTTAACTAAAAAGTGTAGCACAATTATACAACACAGGCTTCCGCCCAGACTAAAAGAAGCAGGAAGTTTCAATTTACCATGCTTTATAGGAAGTTTAAATAATATTAACACTTTAATTAATTCTGAAACAAGCATTAATTTGATCCCTTTACCTCTTTAAAAGAAACTAGGATCGGAAGATCCAAAGGCATATTCAATAATTCTGCAGTTGGCGAACAAAACATTGAAGCACCCCTATGGAATAGTGGAAAATATGCTCATCAAGGTTGAAGACTTTATTTTTTCCAATAGATTTCATCATTCTAGACATAGAAGAAGAATATCAGATGCTAGTAATTTTGGGAAGACCATTCCTATAAACTAGCCATGCTCTATTGGATTTTTGAAACAAATAAGCTAATTTTGAGGATGGAAAATAAACAGCAGACCTTCACCATAGATACTCCATTCAAGCAACCATTCTATTTTGAGGATTTTCAGAAAGTGGAAATAGAAGAAATGGATGACTATTCAAGTCATCACTGGAAAAAGGGGCGTAGGGAGACTGGTTAGAACACATAAGGATCAATTTGGGCACTATTAGTTGTGGAAAAGTAAAGGATAAGGCCACAAATTTCTTTTTTAAGCCTTGAATAGCCAAAACAACAAATCAACCTAAAGACTATAACTAAGCGCTTATTGAAAGGCAACCCAATTTTCTTTCCCTTTTATTTATTTTGCTTTTTAGATTAGGATAGAGTTTAATTTTGTTTTACAAGTATCGCCATCCTCTCCCTTTAGGCCTTTCAAATTATTGTTGATTTATGAGATGTTTAGGCTAATTGATACTTGTTCCAGATTTTATGGTCTCTAATATTTGATTTTCAGGAACATGATATCTCAAATCAACATTGATGAAGTGGACAACGTTATTCAAAAGGACAAGCTCTTACACTTTATGCCATGGCACTTGCCACCTTCTCATAAATTTAAGGAGTATTTTCTTCCACCCCTCTATATGTTTACTTATGCTCTAAGACATTGAGAACAATGTCTATTTTAAATTTAGGAGAGTTTTTGCTTTTGTTTGTTATTGTGTGTTTTATTATGAGAAAAGTAAAAAAAATTTGAAAAAAAAATATTTTCTTATTTTATTTGTGTGCTTGTGTGGGTTTGATGGTCAGATCGGCAATGATGAATGTATATGAAA